GGAGAGCTAGAGTTTCATGATGGTAAGCTAAGGATCTCGAGGAGAAAGATGCCTCGTTTCCTGTACGTGAGAACCTTCTTCTAGACGCAATCAAAGAGGCTATGGCTCATCCCATCAAGAATACAAAACCTTGYTGGGGTTTGATAGGAGAGGCATCACCTCGGCACTATGCCTTTTCGCAAAGGTTTTAAGCCTGTTGAATGCTTGTAAGGTCAGTGTACCCGAGCTCAACCTCGTATTTGGTCAAGAGAGGCATGACCTCAGCACTGTGCCTTTTCGCAAAGGTTTTAAGAGGTCAGTATACCCAGAGCTCAACCTCGGACCCATGACGTCCTCTGCTTGCACCAAGGAGATGACCGACAAGGTTGATGAAGAAGACTCAGACTCCAAGGAGGAGGAAGAAGACGGGATTGGTGAGGTTGCCATAGAGGAGGATGTCGATGAGGAGATGGGCAGAGAGGATGCCGCTGAGGAGGGTATTACCGCTACTAGTGATGGAGGCGAGGAGCCCCGAGATGTCTAAAAATTTTGCCTCTTTTCTTGGACTTCCCTTGTAAATACGTGTATTGTGYCGAGCCTCTGAGCTCGATCTAGAGAACTTTAGTCTTCCTTTTCACCCTTTTTTTAACAATACCGATGTAACTCTGCCGATCTAGTAATGAATGAAAGTTCACTTTTTGCACATCTTGCGTTCATCTATTCTCAATACACTCTAAAACCTGAAACCTCAAAAATAATTCTAAGTAAAGGTTTACTCGAGGTGCCTAACTCCAAAGTGACTAGACATAGTAAGGGATAAACCTGAGGTAGTTGTGTGCCGAGGCAACTAAGCATGGTATGGGATATAACCCAAACTTCTTGTGTGCCAATTAGGCATCATAAAAGGAGAACTCGAACTACCTATATGCTATGCCAAAGCGGCTAAGCTTTATTAGACCACCGAGGTCATTATTAGCTCGGGGCTGGGGGCCTTTAGGCTTAAAGCGACTTGGAGTCCCCTTCGAATCCCCTTTGAAGTGTGATTTGGCCGATATGCGCTCTACGCATGGCGGCTTGACTAAGTCGCCAAAGCATATGGTCTTCCATACTTAGTGAAAACTTTTAATTATCTAGTTGAGGTCGTGGATGCTTGACTCCCAAGCTCATAAATAATACTTTCTTAGGTTGTTGGCGTTCCAAGCACGGGGTACCTGCCTCCCTTCCAACATCTCAAGCTCGTATGTCCCTTCATCAATCACTATCATACTCTATAGGGACCATCCCAATTCGGGCCCAGCTTACCTACACCTGGCTTAGGCATCATAACCTTCCAAAGTACAAGATCTCCAACTTGGAGGTGGCATCTCTTGATTTGGGAATTATAGTACCGAGCTACTCGCTACTGGTAGGTCATAGTCTGGATATAGGCCAGGTCGCACACTTCTTCCACCAGGTCRAGGTTGGTTCGTAACTCGTCGTCGTTGGCCTCCTYGTTGTATGCCTCTAACAGCAAGGTTGGTACTTTGATCTCAGTAGGGATGACGACCTCTTCTATACCATACGTTAAATTGAATGGGGCCTCTCCAGTCACGGTTTTGATTGTAGTCCGGTAGGCCCAAATGACACTGGATAGCTCGTCTACACACAAACCCTTAGCTCAGAAAAGTCGAGTTTTGAATCCACGGAGGATTGCCCTGTTCGTCACCTCGACCTATCTGTTTGCCTATGGATGTGCTACCAAAGTAAAGTTTTGTTGGATCCCCATCTCGGCACACTAGTTCTACAACTTTATGTCTTCAAACTGCGTATCAGCACCTTTGGGAGTCTGAATTTGCACACTATGTTTTCCTATAAGAAGTTATGTACATTTCGAGCTGTGATTGTCACTAATGGCTCAACCTCCACCCACTTCGTAAAGTAATCAACCGCCACAACCAAGAACCTTCTCTGCCCTGTCRTCGATGGGAACGGACCGAGGATGTCTATTCCCCACTGTGCGAAAGGCCACGGGCTGGTCAAGTACTTGAGGTCGGCAGTGGGCTAGTGAAGTATGTTGGTGTGCCTCTAGCAGTTATCACACTTTTGGATGAACTCGAGTGCATCCGCTTGTATTGTAGGCCAGTAATAGCCTTGCCTTAGCGCCTTTTGGGCGAGCGCCCTACCCTRCAAGTGTCCCCTACATAGACCTTCATGGATCTCATGTAGCACCTAGCTTGCCTCTAAAGGTCGCAAGTAACACAAGTAAAGGAGCATGAAGGATCTCATATACAACTGCTCGCCAATAAGGATATAGAGAGATGACTAACGCTCTACCCTCCGAGTTGCATTGCGGTCTACTGGTAGGGTCATGTGGAACAGATAATCAACAATCTCTTTTGTTGCCCTCTTAATGCTAGGTTGCAGCAGGTCTTCAATGTAGATCGTCCTCTTTGTGACGTCGTTTACACCGGCTAGCTTTGAAAGTGCATCAGCCTCTACATTCTCTGTCCTCAGTATTTGCTAGATGAACCAAGAGTGGAAGCCGGGCAGGAGCTCTCTCACCTTTGCCAAATAGGCCAACATGGCAGGCTCCCGAGCCTCGTACTGCCCATTCACCTGCTTCACAACCAGTTGAGAATCACTACATGCCATGATGTGCTTTGCGTCAACCTCCCTCGCCAAAGTCATCATGGCTATTAATGCCTTGTACTTTGCTTCGTTATTCGACGCCTCGAACACAAACCGGAGAGCGTACTCCAGCATCACCTCGACATGGAGAATCTAGGGCTCCTCATCCCARGTCAGGACTTCCCTAGCCAGGACGGGTGTCAAGCTGGTTGACACCTTCAACGTGTTAATAGGCTTAGTCACCCTAGGGGCCAACGTGCTGAACGTACACTTAATGATAAAGTCTGCCAAGACCTGCACTTTAATTGTTGGGCATGGCTTGAACTAGATGTTATATTTGCTTAGCTCGATTGCCCAATTTGGCAACCATCCTGAGACCTCAGGCTTTTGAAGAACATGCCTCAAAGGTCGACCAGTTAAGACTATGACGGTATGGGCTAGGAAGTAAGGACATAGCTTCCGARCTATCAAGGCTAAGGCGAAGGCCAACTTCTCAATATCGGGGCACCTGGTCTCAACTCCATGCAATACCTTACTTATATAGTAGACAGGTCATTGCACCTGGTCTACTTCCCTTATTAGTATTGAGCTCACAACCTCGTCACTTGTGAAGAGGTAAAGTTTTTGCTCGTCTCCTAGTTCAGGTTGAGTTAACATCGATAGTGAACTTAGGTACCTTTTAAGCTCGTCAAACGCGAGCTAGCACTCCTAGGTCCACTCGAAGTCTTCATTCTTTTTAATAGCCTTAAAAAAGGGTAAGCACCGCCCAATCGACTTAAACATAAACCAATTCAGGGTGGAAATTCGGCCTATTAATTTTTGTACCTCTTTTATTGACCTAGGTGATCTCATGTCTAGGATTGCTAGGATTTTTTCCAAATTGGCTTCGATGCCATGTTGATGCACTATATAAACAAGGAATTTGCCCGAAGTGACCCCAAAGACACATTTGTTCGAGTTGAGCTTTATGTTATACTTCCTTAAGAATTGAAAAACAACGTTTAAATCATTTATAAGAGAGTTTGAAAACTGGGTCTTCACGACCATGCCATCAACATAACACACTATTTTATTTCCAATCAAAGGTGCAAAAACTTTATTTACAAGGCGTTGGAAAGTTGCTCCAGCGTTTTTTAGTCCAGAGGGCATAATTTTCCTAATTCAGTTACAAATGTTGTATTTTCCTAGTCTCCATCCGGATTTGATTGTAGTTGGAGTAAGCATCCATGAAGCTCAACAACTTGTGCTCCAACATTGCATCTACCAAGTGGTCTATTCTAGGGAGCAGGAAACTATCCTTTGGGCAGACTCTGTTAAGGTTAATGTATTTGACGCACATGCACCACTTACCGTTGGTTTTTTTGATGAATACAGGGTTGGCTCTCGGGTACTAGACCTCTCTAACGAAGTCTGCTGCAATGAGCTTGTTGACCTCCTCATCTACTACCCTCCACCTCTCTAGGGTAAGGTTCCTTTTTCTCTACCTGAATGGCCTAACTAAAGGGTCCACATTCAATTTCTGAATTATCACAATTGGGTCTATGTCAGGCATTTCTACTACCGACAATGCAAAAACATCTAAATTACCAAGTAAAAACTTACCAGTGTAGACCGAACTGATTCTTTTAGGTGAGCCCCACTTTGGATAATCTTCGCAGGTTTAGTATCAGAGACCATGACCAGGATTGTATTCTCATGGGTTGGGCTCGCTCGTTTGTGTACTTGGGGGCGACTCCAGCTCGACGTCACCTGCCAGCTTTGGCTTGCCCTTCAATGCCGCAACGTAGCACTTCCATGACTCCAACTGGTTGCCCCATATGACCCTAGTCCATACCTCATCAGAAAATTTCATTGAGATGTAATAGGTCGACACCATTGCACGAAGTGCATGCAAGATGGACCGAACTAAAATTGCATTGTAAGGGGACAAGGTGGCTACCACCAAGAAGGTGTGCTCTGACCTTGCTGTGACTAGCACCTTGATTCTGCCTAAAGGCTTCACCACGTCTCTACTGAAGCCGACGAGAGGTACATCTGTTGGCTGCAAGTCCTTCCGCTCAAGCTGCATCTTCTTAAAGGCTTCCAAGAATAGGATGTCTGTCGAGCTCCCTGAGTCGACCAAAATCCGCTTTACCTTAAAGTCATTAATGATCATTTTGACAATGAGGGCATCATCATGTGGATACTGGACCCCGCGAGCGTCATCCTCGGTGAAGTAGATGACTTCCTTCACTCGAGGGTGCTTCAACGGGTTCTCATCCTCCTGCTCCAACTCCAAAACTGAATTCTTCCCTGTTGTTGTGTTGCACCCTACTAAAATAGAGCCTCCTGTGATCATGTTGATCACTCTATGTATTGGTGGTGGATCCTGAGGTGGCTGGTCACGATCTTGTTGCCTGCTCAATTCTGGTGCTTCCCTGGAGTGGTTGGTAGGCCGGGAATCTCTCTCGTTGCGCTTGACAAACTGCATGAGGTAATCGCGATGGATCAACTTCTTGATCTCATCCTTTAGGATCCGACAACTCTCCGTGTCGTGGCCGATGTCACGATGGAAGTGACAATACTTGTTCGGGTTACGATTGGCAAAGTCGCCTCTCATCTTGGGCRACCATCACACGTACTCAGTTGTTTTTATTTGTATCAATATTTCACCCCTGTTTGCATTTAGGGTGATGTAATTTTGATTCTAGACTGGCGGGGTTTTAGATTGTCAACCTGATTTGGAACTCCGATGGGGTGATCTGCTCTTCCTTGGCAACCTTCTTCGCCTGTCGCGAGGTGACCAACTTCTCTTTAGCGACTTCTTTGATGTTGCTTATTGCTCCCCACTTCTTCCTCTGGTCGTTTTCTCTTCTCGAATAGTTGTAGCTCTAACCGGGATCCCAACACCTCCATCGCCTTCGTGAACTTATCTGCTTAAGTGAGGAACACCTCCAGAGAGGTTGGAGGGTTCGACTCAATCTGCTAGCGTAAGTCGGGGTGGCGAACGCCGTTCACCACTATAGTGAGTTGTACTACTAGGTCAAGGTATGGGATCTAGAGATGTTCAAGGTTGAACCTTTTGATGTAGTCACGAAGCATCTCGTTCGGTTGTTGGATGACGTTCAGGAGACAGGTCGCGGACTTGGGGGCACCTCTTGCTGGTGGCGAAGTGCATGGTCAAGAGGTCTGTGAACTTACTCTAGCTTTTTATCGAGCTTGCTAACAATCCCAAATACCACATCCGAGTTGTTTTTTGAATGGTTGTCGAGAAAGCCATGTAGAGGCTCGCATCATTTGCCCCATGAAGTTGCATCAAGGCTTGGAAACTATCAATGTGATCCACTGGGTCAATCATACYGTTATATGAATCCAGGGTTGGCGAGGCCTAGGTCACACACGATGTTGCTGGCTGTGCGACGACCTGGCTTACTTTTCTTTTTTGTTAGCCTCCTCATTATTGGTGGGAGCGAGGTGGCTTTTTCCTATGCTATGACGTGAGTGTCTGCGGTGTCTCCTCCTCGACACCTTGGTTGTGCTATTCCCTTTTGTACCGATCAGTGTCGTAGCTATGTTGCTTTCCTCCACTGGGATTGGCTATTGTGGTGGAATAAAAGTGGAAAACCTTTCCTTCCAAGCCCACGTCTGAAGGTTCATACCACGGACGTACTGCACCAGTTCATGGAACTACTGCACGTCAATCCCTACGGGAACCACAGAAGGCTCAACCATGGGGACAGGGGCATTCACTTGGTGTAGCAAGAAGGGCTGGTTCGACACTACTGGCACTCCGTGCAAGGTCAATGGCATTGTAAGTTGCCCAATGGTCATTGAGGGTACTTCARGTTGGACAACAGGCTGCTCCTACCCCCCAGCGACTTGCATGTTGTTGTTGTTGTTGACGTTGGCAAGTTGGTTGTTGCTTATAGAAGCCATTGGATCAGTAAATTAAGAAGGGATGGTGGGAATTAGGATTTTTGTCGTTGGTTCCCATAGACAATGCCAATTGATGATGTGTGATCTGGTCACTCCCTACTAGAAGGTAGCTCGGACGTCGGTCTACTATGTGGCTTGTCGAACTGCAAGAAAGTAGTATCAGAGGTCCTGGGGTACTTTACTTGGTGTGGGCACTCCGATGCTCAAGTCAGCGAAGAGTTTTTGTAGAGAGCTAGATTGCTTGTAAGTATGAGAATACGAGAGCTAAATCGTGCATACCTTGTGAGGTTGTAGGTGATGCCTTTATATAGGTAAACTGCCGTAGGCCTCACGAAACGTGTCCGAGATCACCATYCCGCGTAACTTAGAGTCCATTCTGCAACCAAAGATGGACTCCGTGTAAGCTGATAAGCTTTATTTGAGTCCTTCCAATCTAGGCGGGATAAGGATAAGGTCCCGTTAACATGTGGCGTGGTCCCGAAGAGATCGGAGACAACTAGCTAGCTTCTAGAAGAGGGCTATGTGATACCTAGGCAGGTCGGTGCATGCAAACTGCTCGAGACTCCGATCTTAACTGACTGACCCAAGGTGCTTGAAGTGACTTGGACTATTGAGGTGTTCGAAGAGGTTAACGTGTCGTCCAGTCGATGGGTCGCTCCACGTGTCGTCATATTACAGGTCGGGCCAAATTATTTCTCATTAGTAGGTTTATTTATTTGGTAAACATTTGTATTGATTTACGTACACGCCAACAGTTGGGGAACTTTCATTTTAAAGTTTCCCTCAATACAAAGGTATTTATTTATTGTTTCACTTATGTGGTGCCTAGCTGTCAACAAACATTAAAAAACTGTTTATCAACCACTTTTTTTTCGATTTTGAAAACAAATCAAGTACAAACATTTATTTGATAAACGAAAGCCATACCAAACAATTCGATTGTCGTGCTTTTGTTCATTTCTAATTTTCTTTCATTGGAGGCACCCTTGGATTTTTTACTTTCCATGATGTTACACATAATGATATACAAATGGTTTAGGACGAACATTGGATTAAGTAAATTGATTGAAATTTGCAAAATATTGAGGTGTATTATTAATGTGTAAACTATACGGGCGTTTCAGAAATTGTAGGGTAAAGAGAAAAAAACAAGATACAAAACGGCTCTTTCATTAATCTCTCATTTTAAGAAAAAACAAGGTAAAAACTAGAAAGAGGGTAAAGAGAAATAAGATGAGAGGTGGGAGAAAATTGAGATTGAAAGAGAGTGATTTGACGTGAAAGGGAGGGTAAAGAGAGGTGGGAGAAGTTGTGAATGGGTGTCAAGAGTTGTTTTAATATATGTTCTTTTATAATTCTTTTAGATAGGTGACCACCACGGGTAACCTTTCTTGTACTCTTCTTTTTGTCCAATAAATTTTATTTTATCTTCCAAAAAAATGTTGTCTCAATTATATGTCAATAGAAGAAATATTTGAATCAATTACTTGACTAAGTTGATAGGAAAGGTAAAACAATATGCACAATGTGGATAGCATAATGACTACGGGATTTCAGATATGTTCCTAGATGGACTTATTAAACCACAAGTTACAAATTTAAGCAAATTATTCCACAATGATTTATATAGGGAAGAGTTCCCACTCTCTACAATCAGAAAAAAAAACAATATAGAAATTAATAAGGAATGGAAAAGGGGGAAGGAGAAAGTATTGAAATAAATCATGGAGAAGACAAGAAAATAAGTGAATTCTACAAAGTTTTCAAATAAAAAGAGTAAGTCTAGAGAGTCTTTTATTTAAAATAGTCACACACTAAGCTGAAGTAAAGTGCAAAAGTTTCAAAGAAATTAGATATAAAAAAAAATATCCTCAAAAAGTTGGAAGAGGAGGGAAAGATGAAAGAGGAGACAGGGGAGGAGAGACTCAAAGGAGAATAGTCGGACTGAAAAGGAGGGAGGCAAAGAGGCGCAAGAAGATGATATTCTTTTGGTAAATTTTGAAGAGTTAACTTTAAAGTTAAAGGGAACAAGTGGTCCCAAACCCTCTTTGGCTCGTGTCACAGGTTTAATCGATAGTGGGTAGCTTGAGCCTAAATGCTCCATTCATAGCGAAGTTGGGCCAATTGATTTGAATTGGCCTAATAAAAATGTGGGAATATCTTCGGATAGGGACAACTTAAAGGCTTCAAAAATAAAAGAGTCAAAGGGTGGGGTTTTGGGAAAGGATGAGATAATCCCGGTTGGGGATGATGGAGGAAGCTCTAGTAAAGTAGTAAAGATGTTTAGTAAGGTTGGTTCTAAGGTGTCAAGAGACGGTTCTGTGCGTTGCTTAACCCATTTCTTCTACAGTGACAACAATGTTGATACAGATAAATGTGAAGTCCAAAGGAGTTCGAAGAAGGTGATTGATGCTGCTGACAGGATTAAATGCACAGGGGTAGGTAGGAAAGCTTCAGCCACTGGAGTTTTACAAGTGAGAAGGTTCAATTTCATCAACAGGGTAAGGAATTTCAACCTAGAAAGCAAAGTGTGGAAGAAGGGGTTTCAATAATTCCTAGTCGAGATTTTTCTAAGGAAAGAAAATATAGAGTTAAATTAGGTAAGGGAATATACGAAGATGGAGTTTAGAAGGGAAAAAATATAGCAATGGATGGGTAGGGGTGTCCATAAAAAACCGAAAAATTGAACCGAACCGCAAAATGTAGTTAACCAAACCGATTGGTTCAGGATTTTTGAAAAACCCAAAGATCGGTTCGGTTTTTGGTTAATTTACAAAAAAAACAATGGTTAACCAAACCGAGCCGTATATATATTTTTAATATATATCACATATTTTCTATGTATTATATATAAATATATATTCATTATATATATAACTATATACTTATATTATATTTATAATGATCTATTTATAAAAATATTATATATTTTTCAAATATTTATAATATATTTTATATCATTTATTATTTATTATATAATATTATACATATATTTGTATAATATATATTATAAATATAAAAAACCAAAAAATCAAAGAACCAAACTAAACCAATCAAAAACCGAAACCGATGGACCGATTAATCAGTGGTACCGGTTCAATTTTGGTTTAGAGAATTGGAAAAACCAATACCACCGGTTTGATTTACAAAAAAAGTGCAAAAGAATTTATTCGATCGAAAGGTTGTTGGAAGGTGGGCTAGATTTTATCGAATGGACAGGTTGCAATGATAAGGGTAGTGCAAATGGAAAAAACGGGGTGTGAGGAAGCTGAAGAAGGAAGGGCAGGGTCAATGAAGGGAATAAAGCAGCGGTGGGTCAAGAAGAGAGAGAGTTGAGGGGACAAGAGTAAGCCAGACGATAGAGGAGAAGGAGATGATCAAAGTGGATGCTAGCCAGAGTAATGTTGGGGTATAGGACCAGGACGAGACAGCAAGGGCTGTGGGAATTAGTAGTGTGAGTGGGACCCACCCAGAGAAGGCTGTATTGACAAGGAGGGGAAAACTCAATGATAATCAAAGAAAATGAGATTGACGTTGAAGAATATGAGTGTTAAGAAGGTGATGTGATGTTGATGGGACACATGAAGTGAAGAGTTGTATTGATTTGGAAACAGTACTAAACAAGGAGGGAGGAGAATAATTTGCAAGGAAGGCATTCAAGGAGTTGGAGGAAAAGGAATCGGAGAAAAAGAAATTGGTGGTGGCAGGGAGTGGTATTAATCCAAAGGTTAATGATGCATAAATTGGGTGGAGGCTTGTGGGAATTCCAAGAGAAGGTAAAGAGGAGGATGGAGAGTTGGTTGCAGCTCAGATATCATTTGAGATCAGAATGCGGTTTTGAAACTAGAAATTATCTAAGGACAGTCGAGGGTTCTAAGGAATAGAAAATGCTTATGTAGTGACAGAAGCACAGAGTTGTTTCAGTGTCAAAATCTTTTGCAAGATTAAGAGGAGGTTCATTTGGGATTGGACCTGTCAAAAGTTTGTAGGAAATGGGCAACAAATTTGACCTGAAGGTATTTAAGGTGACGGTCGGTGTTAGTTTAATTTGATGTTGAAGTTGGGGAATTGGGTGGGGATTTGATTAGACTTGGAAGTGGTTTTTTTGTTGTCTTTTATTAGCGTAGGGAGGGTCTCTTGGTTGAAGTTGTGAGTGGGTGTGAAGGGTTGTTTTACTATATGTTCTTTATAATTCTCTCAGGTGACCGCTGGCAACCTTTCTTGTACTCTAGTCTTCTTTTTTGTCCAATAGATTATATTTTATCTTCAAAAAAAAATGTTGTCTCAATTATGTGTCAATATCTGCATCTAAAGATGTAAAAAGAAAGAAGAAAGATTTGAAGCAATTACTTGACTGAATTGATAGAAAAGGTAAAACAATCTGCACAATGTGGATAACATAATGACTATGGGATTTCAGATATGTTCTTGGGTGGACTTATTGAACCATAAGTTACAATTTTAAGCAAATTATTTCGTAATTATTTATATAGAGAGGAGTTCCCACATGCCCTACATTGGTAACCCCTTTCTATTCCTGATTCCTGACAAACTTATTGGTGTAATTGTTGAGAAAAAAGTCCTAGTGAACCGGCAGAAAGCTGCAAATATGTTATTTCAAGCAAATTATTCCTATTGAACTTCTTATTCTTAGTAGTAGTGGATGTTTTATTTTGATTTATAATTAATGCTTGCATTAGGAATTGATATGTCGATTTAAAGGATTTGATAGAGCTTATAAATTGGTTATTTGATGTTAAGTTTTTGTGGGTTTTGAGTTTTGATGTTACGTATTTCAAATTTGTTATGATTTTCGTTGAAGGCTTATTTTTTTATGGTGAACTCTGAATTTGTTATGGATTTTGATTTTTGTTGTTATGTATTTAAAATTTGTTAAGGTTTTTGTTGAAGGCTTATTTCTATTTGATAGTTGATGTTGAAGTTCAAATTTGTTATTTGATGAAAGCTTATGGATTTTGATTTGATAGATTACTATTTAATGAAGGTTTATAGATTTTGATTTCTAATATTTAATGAGAGGTTGTTGATTTTATATGTGTGGGTTAAATAGGGGTTAAAATTGTCATTTATGCTAAATAAACACTTGGGGGGAAAGTAACTCACCAAACATTCCCACCCTAATATGTGCTTAAAATATCCATTAAGTGATTTGGCAAATGGGTCACCAAACAACATTAAGTGGTTGTTAAAATCAATATTTAAATTGAAAGTAAGACATGGGAAACGCCTATAAATCGTCTTAGTGCGTATTGTATGTGTGTTTATATGATAAGAAGGAGTATTGGGCGATACACTACCAATACAGAGTGGATATAAAAAACAAGTCGAATATGGGGAAAGAAAGCTTCTTTCTCCCAAAAAAAGCCTTCTCTCCTCCACATAACTCCAAATCTCTAAGAAGATTGCCTAGATTGATGGATCTACAAAAAAGCCAAGAAAAATGTATTAAACTTGAAGATTTGGGAAGATTTTTGAAACTTTGGAAAATATTGTGAAAATAGGTGAGTTTTTAAACTTTCATTTAATCCTTTTGATTTGTTGTTTCTTTCTTATTTGAATGCTTGAAAGTGTTCTAATCTTAGTTGATCTACATTTCCAAAAATCATACTTTTTTTTAATTATATGTGTAGACCTATGGATTTTAATGAGGAAAATTGAAAAAATAAAAAAATATTTGTTTTTTTATTTGTATGTAAGGACTTAGTATGTTAGAAACCTATGGATGATCTACCATATCCATGTAAGATTTGGAATTTTCTATGTAATATTTATATTTTTATTCTTGTTATAATTTTGGAATTAAAAAATAAATATTAATTATTTATTGTGATTTGTCCATAATTACTGAATGTATTGTAAATCTATGGTTGATCTATAATATGCATGGATCATTTGGCATTTATTCCTCAAATATGATTTTTTTTTTGAAATTAAAAAAATAAATATCAATTATTTATTTTTTATTGTGATTTTCCCATTAGGACTGTATATAGTGTTAATATATGGATGATCTATCATATCCATAGATCATCTGGCATTTATTATTCAAATATGATTTTTTTATTATGTTATAATTTTTTTTAAATAAATAATAATTAATTACATTTTTATGATATAATTCTAAGGACTAAATATATTGTTAATATATGGCTGATCTATTATATCCATAGATAATTTTATCTTTATTCTTAAAATATGATTTTTTTATTATTTTATATTTTTTGAAACTAAAAAATAAATAATAAGATATACCGGTAAGGTCTGAAAACTAGATATAAAATTATGTAAAAAAGAAACTAATATATTCTTTGATATGGTTATATGAATGATATGATTGTATAGTTTTTTATCACATTTATTAACTCGACTCCTAGAAGATTAATCACCTTCTCCACAAATTCCTATATGACACAACATATTTGATGTACCGACAATTACATCTGTACTATACGTTTTATCATATTTTTTGCATTTTTCCCTTTCAATTCCATTTTCATCATAAACAAATCAAAATGTTCCCAAACAATGGAAGTTTTTTCTTCCTTTATTCCTTGACGTAGACCCTGATGATTTTCTGGCATCATTATGGCTTTCCATTGAGTCTACAAAAAAAAAAAATCTTTATTTGATTTAGTTTTATACTACAAACAATCAAAGCCTAAATGAACTAAATACTAGAAACAATAAGAGTATATATAATGCATATTTATTAATTTATAATATATAAAATATAAAATATATAAATATATAATATACATAAATATATATAAAATATATATTTATTTTATATCTAATTGTAAGAAAAGCATGGGTCTTTTGATTTTTCTTGCTCCCCCTATCCCTAAACTTCAAGGAATGGAAAAGCTTAAATTGACATTGATAGAGGAGTATTGGACGAAGATAAGGCGATAAGGCTCGCGAGAGACCAAGGAGATCCCGGATTTGTCTACTTCCTGTACAGATAGGATTTAGAAGTTTTAGAAGATTCAGAAGTTTAAAAGTTTGTATTTCCTTTTGGATTAGGAGTTGGATTTATTTTA